GCCCCGTTCCAACCGGTTCGGTTGAAACAGGGCCGGCGGCGTCCTCATGCATGCGCACGGTGCACGCATGCGTACTAGCATCTGTGCGATGCTCCAGCTGCTCCTGGAGGATCGCGCAGGCGCTGTATGCATCCTGCGCATGCGTGGAAGGGCAGAACTCGTCAAAAACGGGTAAGGAGCACGGGCGGGCGGGGGCGCCCTTCGCTGTTCCCGGAAGTTACTTACTTCCGGGTTCGCCGACCAACCGGTTCGCAGGGACCGCCGCGAACCGGTTGAAACCCACCCCTGTGTACGTCTAACTTTTGTGTGTGTGTATTTTACATGTTTGTTAATAAAAATCTTTTTTAAAAAAAGAATGAAAATTGATTAATCATCTCAAAATAAATATACAACCTACTGAGCGTAGTCAGGCGGATGACATTCTGCTCTTACTAAATTGTGCTAAGAATCCCAGCTCTCTCTTTTAGTTGTGAAACAAGTTTTAGCCACCTACAGTTTTTGGCAACCAATTGTACCAGGGCAAATGTACAGTGGTAAAACAAAGAGCAAAATTGTGAAGCATAATGTGCCTTTAGGTACGCTTTCATACTTGATACTGAGAGATGTGTGACTGGCCTTATTTGCACTTATTTTTCTTCCATACAGGTAGTCCTCAACTTACAATCATTCATTTAGCGACCGTTCAAAGTTATAATGGCATTGAAAAAAGTAACATACAAATATTCCTCACACTTATGGCTATAGCACCATCTCCACAATCACATGATCAAAATTTGGGTACTTGCTAATGGGTGTGTATTTACAACAGTTGCAGCATCCCAGGGTCACCACAAATGATCCCCATTTGTGACCTTCCCAGCTGGTTTAGACAAGTAAAATCACTTAATGGGGGAATTCACTTAATGACCACATCATTCATTTAACAACTACAGAGATTTGCTTAACAATCATGAGAAAAAGGTCATAAAATGAGGCATGACTCACTTAACTGCCGTGCTTATCAAAAGAAATTCTGATCCCAATTGTGGTGGTACGTCAATGATTACCTGCACTTAATCAAATGAATTTGCCTTGGTCTCAATAAGTGTGAATACCTGGCCAACCTCAATACTAGTTATATTTATTCAGTTTTTTTCCCAAGTGAAAACACTGACACCAGTTCAAATACATTTGCTATTATTTTTTCCATGTATTTAATTCCAGCATAGATATCACCCCATGGCCCTGTTTCTGCAAGCTCTAGGACTGTTAAACTGGAGACCCTTTCCCAAAACAACAAGTAGCAAGGCACAAGGCAATCTAAAGCTTTGCTCTCCTGGAAAGTGTCAGAGCCAGAGTGGGTCAGCAGAAGTTGAGACGCTCCCTACTTTCCCATGTCTATCAATAGAAAAGAAGTCCAATCTAAAGCAGTCTCTCATCTGCCTGTCTTTAGAGTCCCATTGCATTCTACTTTTAATATTGTGGGGTTCTTGGTGATCTCTGAATCGTAATCCCTCTAGCTCTGATGACGTTACCTAGTTTGG